TCTGGGCCATGGGTAACAGTTTTAGAATCACTGATGTAGTGTATATTGTCATGCGCCGCGGCGCGCGTGCACAAAAGGATCCGGACGCAAACTAGGGAGCTAAACAAGGAACTAAAAACCGGGGGAAACAATGACACGAGGAAGCCGGGATCGGGACCGTGGGAGCTCGGGAGGGAAGTGTGGCAGTCCGTGAGCAGGAAGTCCGTGGGGATAGCGAATGGGCCAGATGATGCACCGAGTGATCCAGTTGAGCCGGAGGACAGGCAGGTGGCAGACGCCGAGTCAAAACCTGGACACAAGTTCCAACACAGTTCCAACCAGAAGTGAATGCACGCTTTCGTGGAAGTCTAGTTACCACTGTGGGGTGACTAACGGACTGGCGTGGAGCATCCGTCAGCGCCGGGTTAAGTAGATCTTCATGTAATCACCGCAATGGAGAGCAGGTGTGCCACACCCCCAGCCCGGGGGTGTAGCTACCCGAGCATCACGCATTCCACAGTCACAGGACCACGGACCATGACAGTATATACAACAATATGAAAGTATAAAAATGGTAAAAGATATATAATAAATTATGAAAGAAAGCAAAAAAGGCAAAGCAATCACACACACACACACACACACACATATATATATATATATATATATATATATATATATACACACACATATATATATATATATATATATATATATATATATATATATATATATATATATATATATATATATATATATACACATATACACATATATGTGTATATATATATATATATATATATATATATATATATACACACATATATGTGTATATATATATATGTATATATGTGTATATATATATATATATATATATATATATATATATATATATATATATATATATATATATATATATATATATATATATATATATAGAAAGCGAGATGACAGCTAAAGACCATGTTTCTCACATGATTGAAATGTCACATTTGAAAGGGTTCTCATGAATTGCAAGGTGACAGTGTTTGAATCATCATCTGTCACCGAAGGCACACAAACAGATCTCGGCTTTATCTGCAGAAGAACAAATGACTGATGCAGCTGGCTTCACATCCTGCAATAAACGTCTACAAATCAGATTGACAGTCAGTATAACAATGCACTTAAACCACAAGCTCCCTGCTGAATGTAAGTGCCAGAGAAATATGCATATATGAAAGATTGTTTATGGCAATATTGCTGCTTAGTTTCAACATGACATCAAACCCCTTAACTTTACTTAAAATGTGTGGATTTTGAGGATACACGAACTGTTTGTGCTATATTAAAAACGTTTCACTCAGCTTTCACCCTTCTGTAACATCAAATATCTCATTTGCCTACAACAGACTTAATTACAGCTTAATAGTATATGTGAGGAGCCACACTCTGATTTCATGCTTCAAATGGGATTTGGAGCATATGTTATAATCCTTGCACAAAATCACTAAATAACAATATGGGTTAATTAAAGCTTATATCCCACATAATCCTAATGATTCACTCTGTTTTGACTCCTGAGGTATTAATAAAGCAAAAAATTAAAATCATTGACAGATTTGCAGCAGCTAAGGGCACCTTTAAGCGCCTGAAGTGTTTTCATTACTCAAATCAGATTTATTGCCAACATTGCACACATGCATTTGTTCAGTCATGTTTTATGCAGCAACATTTAAAGTGAGTCAATCGACAAACCGTGTGGTAGAAGCATTTGCCCATTTCTTTCACTGGTCAGGATTCAGCAGCATCATCATCAACAGTGCGGATTTGATTTGATATGATCTGACTCAACTAATGTATAATCTTCCCATATTTGGGCTGCTTTGTATTCCCCATTCCAAGTGCTCCAGGGTGGCATAGCACACACTGTGAGATACCCAACCACTGATTCCATTAGGCTGTTTACCAGGCAGCTTCTCCTTCTTATCTACTGAAATTATTCAAGCATACAGGAATTCATAAAGCAGAGTAACTGGACTGCTTTGTCTGAATTACTCCTGGGTGGGTATATCTCAAATGGCTCTGCAGTGGTCTAGGTCATGTCTGAACATTTTCTAGTGTTCATTGGTGGCCACAGCTCCTCTTGTTCTATTCCTCAGAAGGGTCCCTCATCATATATGCTCCCTGTTGAACACATAACATAACATTTCCTTCCATGGGTCCTATACCAGCGGTACCCAACTTTTTTTGCACCACAGACTGGCTTATATCTGACAATAGAAACCTTGAAAACTATAAATTTACACCTGAACCTCAACTCGTACTGGTCTGTGGCCTGGCTTGTGGACCGCTGTCCTATACAATTTAAGTTAGGGCGTGACTATTTGAGCAGCCATCCATTGTGCCACAGTTTCAAATAATGGAGTAGAAGAAAGAATGTGAATATTGTTTACCCTAACACTAGCACAACACAGCAGTATCCATAACACGAACTGCACATTAGGTGAGCTTATATGGAGGTGACTATCCTGCTTACAGTCAAGTTCTGAAGCACTCCATTCCTGTGTTTATGTTAGTTTTAAACAAAATGACATTTAAGCCTGTAAGCTGCAGCATTTTGAAAGAAACCAGGATACCGCTGCATGTATACATTGTATTCAGACAAGATCCTATACACCTTAAGCCAGCTGAGGTATGATAACACAGACCACAGCAGCAAAAAGGAACTGAGAAAGAAACTGGTGTCTCGAATTATGATGTTTTGTACTTATGCTTGATGTCTATCAAGCATAAGTACATGAAGTGCTCTAAAAGTGGACTTGGAACTTTAGTTACCTCAACTGGAGAAAGTACTTTATTAAACCAGGCTTGCATTTGTAGTCCCTTCATTGTAGTAAAAAGCCTTGTTTCTCTCTGTTCCTGTTTGACACATTAAACTTATTGCATTTTGTGATAATACTAAACATCCTGTAGCCTTTTCATATTAAAGGAGAGATCCTTCTTTACTTAATCAGACACTATTAAAGGACGGTGAAGCAAAGCCATTTTCAAAACATTAAAACACTACACTAAAATAATGAAAGCATTATATTGTTAACGCACTAAAATAAATTCTCACTCCTGCTGCCGTCCCGCTGAAGTCACTGTTCGTCATTCCTTTGTGTGCATGTGTGTGTTTTAATCACTGAAATGAAGAACATTTGCTCCATATGTTTGATCTTAACCAGCTGGAGAGAAATGCAAGTTGTTGATGGTTTAATGTGCTGCACATGAGCAGGTAATTAGCTGTGCAAACTGATCGTAGCTGTGCAAATTTGTTTGGCAGCTCATTTAACAAGCTAAGGTGCAGAAAGAAAAGCCCGATAAGAAGGCTTCAGCTGGAAGGATGTGAGTAGTTTTTTAAAGTTTTGTGTGTTATGTGAGGCTGACACGTGGTTCATTCTAACTATCTGCCTTTGCTGTGACACAAGACTGAAATGACAACAGTATATGTTAAAATAACGCAATATAAGGCTCCATAATTTAGAATATTCCTGACATTTTCAATAATTCACATACATAAATACATAATTTGTTATATTATCATTGCAAGTATGTGTGTGTGATTTTTCCTTATTTATTTATTCTTTGTTTGTTTTATTTTTTCTTTATGAAAGGAAGCATATGTTTGTGCTTATATCTGTTTAATCTATCTTTTAAACTTTTATGCAATTTCTCCTTTTTAAAGGCACAGTGTGTAAAATTTGTCCACCACAATATACAGGTACATTTAGTAAAGAAAATAAGAGAAAAAAATACTATACAAAAATCAATACATTTCAATATCGCTACCGTTCTGATTCATTTACATATTGAAAGGGAGTGGGAAGAGCACTCCACATGTCTGTTGATTGCCGTAAACTGAATTCTGTTTTTTCACATCCCAGTTCAAATGCATTTGCCACTGTATGACAAATGTCATTTACCTCAGCTGTCAATATGACTGCAGTGTCAATTTGTCCGGTGTCCTGGGAGTCCGCTATAAGTCAGCGTGTCATCGAAATTGATGACAAACTGATTACAGCGATACCGAGGTGAGTTGTTGAGGATATCCTGAACATTTCTGTCAGTAAGCACTGCTGTTAGCTGCTGTTAGCTGGGATTATTGAAACTTTCTTTGAAGTGGATCTACCAATGATAGACTCAGGCACTTAGCGAATAAACTCTCTTATGATGTGAGAATGTAATCAAATTGTTTTTCAGAGGAAAAATGTGATTTTTAGGATACTCAAACCTAATGTTAGCCGCCATAATGTTAACTTACAACCTTCTTGTTGTTCTTTAGCCAACTCATTGTCACCTGTCCGGAGATGGGAGAATTTTGTGTCTGATCTGCTGACAATAAGTAATTGCCACAATATGAGACATAAATAGGCATGTTTATGCACATTTTCATGTGTTAGAGCCATGAGCTCAGTTCATTATATAATGCTTGAAGTGAGAAAGATGAGGAGGTGGAAAATGAGGGAGGAAGAGAAAGAAATTATGTAAATATACATGTCCAGTCTGCATGCCAAGTGTCCTTGGGCAATATACTAACCCCATGTTGTTCTCCGGTGCATCAACTGGAGTATGAATGTATGTGGATAAAAATTAGGAAGCACTTAGAAACAGTAGAAAAGGGTGCATTGTGCAAACTGATATGAATGGGTGAATGTACAAGTTGTGTAAAGCGCTTTGAGTGCTCAAGACAGAGTAGAAAAGCTCTATATAAGAACCATTTACCTTATTTGCAGTGGTCAGGCAGGTATAGCACTATTGGACAGGTAGAAAATTTTACAAAATACTTGCCATCTAACTATAATGGGCTAATCTCCAATACTCAAACCCATTTAAAGAGAGTGAAAGAGAGAGTGAAAGCATCAAAACCGCTGCCTAACCAGTTTAATGGATCACCCAGAAAGCTCCTGCTCCTTCAGGCTGTATTTCATCCCTTGAGTTCGACCTTAAAAATGTTATCTTAAACTCATGACTTCCTTCAGGGTTAAATAACAGCTTACCTTGATCCAGATCATACTCTTCCGTGGTGCTGACAAAGTGAGGTCTGGAGTAAAAGTTATGCGGCCCCGGCTGCTGGAGGCCCCCAAGGCTGAAGAGGCTTCGCTCATTTGAAGCACAGCAGGAAAAGACCCTCCGGCTGGGGATGCAGGAATAACGTGTCCAGCTCTTCATCTCCAGGTCAAAAGCCTCCAGTGCTGTCACCGGCATCTTTCCCTGGCGACCACCTGGAGGAGAGGGGAGAGAGATTCAATGAATTTATGATTATGACAAAGCTTTACAATTACAAGAGATTCTATTAAAATCCAGAGAAGTGAAATGTGAGCAAACTGACAAAGTCACCTGTGTATTATCATGAAGACCTGGAAACTGCATGCCCCTTCTCATAAATGAAATATATTCCCAGAAATATTATCATGTGCACAAACAACAAGCCAAGGACAAATGCAAATTTTCTGTGTGACACTGTTTGTCCCTGTTTCCATTTCCTGTTTCATTGCTTTTTAATCCCCAGTGCCTGTCACATAGTTTCCTTGGCATTTATGTCAAAGTCTAGCGAGTGCACAGACCAGCGCTGGGACCACATTTCATTTTGGGCTGAAAGGAGAGCACAGCAGCAGGGAGCTCCCCTAGGACACTTAGGAGTTGTTTACTTCCACAAATCATAACTTAACCTTGTAAAATATGACTACAAGGGGAAGGCAAGCTTTGTGAGACAGAGAGAGAGAGAGAGAGAGCCTGCGTGGAGCGGGCAGTAAGAGTTTGAATGATGGGAACAGGGGGGTTGAAAGCAGCGCAGCACTGTGGGGGCCAGGGGTGAGAGGCAAATAGGGAGGGAGGCAGCGGAAAAAGAAGGGGGAAATGTAAAGAATATGAGAGAGTGACAGAGAAATTATAGAAAGCATTATAGAAAGAGAAAAACAGAATGTGGAGGAGTGAGAGAAGAAAGTGGAAGAGGGTCAGCTGGAGTGGGCAGAGAGGCAGAGAGATCGATAGCAGTAGCGAGACAAAGAGTCGAACTGTGTGGGAAGCATTACATGTGAGAAAAAGACATTCCATGCAAAAGATTTGGTTGATTGGAGCAGAATCTACTGTGTATGGTTTTCCTTGAGAGTACATAGTTCACATATGGTTTTAGTGTTGCTGCAATACTCCACAGACTAACATTTTGGCAAAAGTGTAAAACAGAGAATCTGGACTGCTGCACTACTGAAGGAGACAGCTTTTGCACAAATCTACATATAATCACGGGTCTGAGCTGCATTCTAAACCAAATTCAGCTCAGCAAAAATAAGCCATCTGTATAATCTATATAACAGATGTATCTCTGTTATGTAGATTATACATACAGTGGGGCAAAAAAGTATTTAGTCAGCCACCAATTGTGCAAGTTCCCCCACTTAAAATTATGACAGAGGTCAGTAATTTGCACCAGAGGTACACTTCAACTGTGAGAGACAGAATGTGAAAAAAAAATCCATGAATTCACATGGTAGGATTTGTAAAGACTTTATTCGTAAATTAGGGTGGAAAATAAGTATTTGGTCACCTCAAACAAGGAAAATCTCTGGCTCTCACAGACCTGTAATGTCTTCTGTAAGAAGCTTTTCTGTCCCCCACTCGTTACCTGTATGAATGGCACCTGTTTGAACTCATCATCTGTATAAAAGACACCTGTCCACAGCCTCAAACAGTCAGACTCCAAACTCCGCCATGGCCAAGACCAAAGAGCTTTCGAAGGACACCAGGAAAAGTATTGTAGACCTGCACCAGACTGGGAAGAGTGAATCTACAATAGGCAAGCAGCTTGGTGTGAAAAAATCAACTGTGGGAGCAATCATCAGAAAATGGAAGACATACAAGACCACTGATAATCTCCCTCGATCTGGGGCTCCACGCAAGATCTCATCCCGTGGGGTCAAAATGATCATGAGAACGGTGAGCAAAGATCCCAGAACCACACGGGGGGACCTGGTGAATGACCTGCAGAGAGCTGGGACCAAAGTAACAAAGGTCACCATCAGTAACACACTACAACGGCAGGGAATCAAATCCCGCAGTGCCAGACGTGTTCCGCTGCTGAAGCCAGTGCATGTCCAGGCCCGTCTGAAGTTTGCCAGAGAGCACATGGATGATACAGCAGAGGATTGGGAGAATGTCATGTGGTCAGATGAAACCAAAGTAGAACTTTTTGGTATAAACTCAACTCGTCGTGTTTGGAGGAAGAAGAATACTGAGTCGCATCCCAAGAACACCATACCTACTGTGAAGCATGGGGGTGGAAACATCATGCTATGGGGCTGTTTTTCTGCCAAGGGGACAGGACGACTGATCCGTGTTAAGGACAGAATGAATGGGGCCATGTATCGTGAGATTTTGAGCCAAAACCTCCTTCCATCAGTGAGAACTTTGAAGATGAAACGAGGCTGGGTCTTCCAACATGACAATGATCCAAAACACACCGCCCGGGCAACAAAGGAGTGGCTCCGTAAGAAGCATTTGAAAGTCCTGGAGTGGCCTAGCCAGTCTCCAGACCTCAACCCCATAGAAAATCTGTGGCGGGAGTTGAAAGTCCGTGTTGCTCGGCAACAGCCCCAAAACATCACTGCTCTCGAGAAGATCTGCATGGAGGAATGGGCCAAAATACCAGCTACTGTGTGTGCAAACCTGGTAAAGACCTATAGTAAACGTTTGACCTCTGTTATTGCCAACAAAGGTTATGTTACAAAGTATTGAGTTGTATTTTTGTTATTGACCAAATACTTATTTTCCACCCTGATTTACGAATAAATTCTTTACAAATCCTACCATGTGGATTCATGGATTTTTTTTTCACATTCTGTCTCTCACAGTTGAAGTGTACCTCTGGTGCAAATTACTGACCTCTGTCATCATTTTAGGTGGGGGAACTTGCACAATCGGTGGCTGACTAAATACTATTTTGCCCCACTGTAACAGACAGAAATCTGGACAATAAAAAAAAACAAAAAACAAAAGAATCCATTAGTCTTTAGCCCGTTGCTTCATGAGCCTCCATAGCTAAAGGTAGAAGCCAGCGCTAAGGTACAATCATATAGCGGGAGACCCATGCATAATCAGCCTTACTGTATTATTAATATTTTAATTTGTTCCATTTTCTTACTAGGTTCTTTTAACGAAGATGAATTACGGTTAATTGATTTTCTGAATAGCTCTTTTTTTATTAGCAACTTGGTTAATTGTTATGACTGACAGATGCTGAGAATGAAGGAGCTTTGCAGACCACCATTTGGGATCGGTATGTAAGAGCATCAAAGGACTGTTTCATGAACTGTGTGGTTCACTGTTGTCTGTTTCAACAGCTGACAAGCTCCAAACACAATTTATCTATGTATTATTTGTAGCTAGTTAGTGAGAAAATACTAATCCTGCTAATCATTAATAATCATTTTGTGAGCATCCACAACAGTCCTAGGGAGTGAAAGACCAATATCAGTAATACAAATACCAATCAATACCACATCTCCAACCAGTCACTACTGTACAGGTTAAAATTACAGTCTGTCACCAGTGGAAGACAACAAGCATCCATACTTTGGCTCTACATTTGTACAGAGACAGGAAAAAGTGAAATTACATCCATTAAAATATGTTAATGTAGCAACAGTAAACTCCACCAACCTAATTAAACATTAGCTACCACTGAATCTGTGTCTGGGCTTTGTAACCATTTTAACATCAGAGCATTTTAAATTGGCATAATTAACATAGCAATTATTTAAAAAAAAGACTAAAGCATCCAAAACTAAAAAACTATTGCAAGCACCAAAACCTGCAGTGTATCAAATGGCCTCCTAAGGTGATATTAGTAGCGCATTCAGCATCACTGCTTACCAAGCTAGCCAGTATTGGCATAAGCTAAATTTCTCCAGGTATACTTTGTTGGTGAAATATGATCGCACGTGATTTCAAATCCTAACCTTCAGACTTCTATATGATATTACACAGAGAATAAATGAATAGGTTGGGTCTCAGGTGGGTATCTGAAAAACATTAGCATGTTAGCACTGTAGATGTGCAGTAAAGTCGCAGTAAACATTTGGGTAAGGGTAACATAAAAATAACATAGTGGCAGAGGTGTGCTCCCTGGCTCAACTGCAGGGGAGGAGTGGTGCAGTGAGCTCAAGGGGGCAGTGCCGGGGAGGCAGGTGAGAACACAGCTGGCGGTGTTTGGACTGATGAGTCTTTTTTCCCCTTTTTAGTGAGGCAGGAGACGAGAGACGGGGTTGTTGGAAAAGCTGAGACCAGCGCTGACCAGACTGTGGGTTGTTGCATAAAGAACCCTAAATAAACGAGACATCTCTGAGCATAAACAATGTGTGTGTGGAGTGCATTCTACAAATGTGAATTATAGAGCCTTCCTTATTTTTTTAATATAACCAATACTATCGGTGTAGCAATATTAGCTATTTGCTGATCAAAACTGTCATGTCAATTGTCAACAAATTTAAAATTTAAAAGAAGTAAGGAGGAGACAGGAGATCCACCTTTAGCGCATAAATGACTAAATAAATACCTACACATTGTAAATCTTAAGGAAAACTGTTTGTTTCATGTGTTAAAAATAATTTACATAGACATTCATTAGAGCAAATATACTAATATACATTTTTCAGTTGTAGCTATTATTAACTAAAACATCTTGTTTAACTTTATTTTATGAGTAAGTTAGCTACTGCTGTGCCAGATTGCTGTTGTCCTCTTTCATATTGTTTGCTCTTTATTCATGTCCATTCTGTGTTCCACATTGGCTGATAAGGAATATATATTACATTGTGGTTCAGTAACAAATGGTTGAAATGGTATATGTATGTTGCTGTAAGCATTTCTCACTTTTGCCTCCAGCAGAAGCCAACACTTGGATGTCTCCCAAGCTGCCAATAAAAAAAGAATAAGCAGGAAAACTGCCGTGTAATGGTGTGCATTCTGAGATTTGTGATGTTTGTTGTTACAGTAATTCATCAGCTATCCAAGATTCTTACTGGGGGTGAAAGTACAGACTGCTGGCTGGTTAAACACCATTTATGATTTACTTGTTGGCCTGATGCAGTAAATTCAGTGGTAAAAATGAAGATGTTTGTTTTTGTCATGATTTAGATTCTTTATCATTATTTGCTGCTGATGAAGTGTGGTGCAGTATTCATCCAGTGCGGTGTGTGTTTTTACACTAGTGTATTTGTTTCACTGAATAATCTTTTTCGTCATCCTTCACTTTGCTGACAACTGTTTTTCAGCTGCACGTGTGCTGATTGCTAACCACGACGCTGCTGCAAAATCCTTGATGTGTACTGTGAACACACGTAGGCAGGTAGGCACACGAATTTCAAAGCGCTGGGAAGCCTCGTGAGTTACGTCATTTGCCAGCAAGGCCACTGTTGACTGGGAACACAGGGAATTTAAATGAAAAGAGGTTCAAGCACCCGCTGAAGAGAACAACCCCCTCAAGTGCAGCAGCAGCTGTAGAAGCAGCATGAATGTGCAAGGTACGGTAAAGCTTTAACGCAATCCCAGCGAGAAGACATTACAGTCACAGAGAGAGAGAGAGAGACAGCTTAAAAAAACGGCATAAATTATTTTCTCTTCGTATATTACAAATTAGTCTGTGTCTAATGTGATATAATATGATTAAACTCCCATCTGTGCACAGACCACGTGGCTGCACTTTAGACTAGTCATCGCTCTCTGTCCCATGCACTTCCCGGCATCATTAGCTGCAGCCACACCAACATGAATGAGTTTACTCTTCTACTTAAAACTTAAAGATTTTCTTTGTTTGTTTTTGGATTTTTTTTGTTTATTTGTTTTTGTGGCTATTTTTACTATACCATGTGATTTTGTTGAAACTTAGGAGTTGGTTTTAAAGAAGAAGCCAATCTTTCCTCTTCTCCACTAAAGCAGCTGATATGCAAACATTTGTTGTCCAGGACACCAAGCAGAGGTGGAAAGTAGATGAAGTACACATATTTTGTTACTATAATTATTTAGAAGTGTCATATTTAATTGATATCTGTACTTCTGAATTTATTTTACATTATTTGCCATTTGTTTTTACTCACTACATTTTAACACAAAATCTCTACTTTCTGCTCCTCACAATTTTAAAACGGGAACGTTTCAATAAACTTTAAGACATGTGGTGGGAGTTATTATTTCCTGTCATAATATGCCTGCAAACATCAAACTGATTTTAAGTTAAATGAAGCAAACAATAACATACAAAAGACATCATTTATAGGACAATCTTCACAGGATAAAGTTAGCCTGATTCATTTGATATAGTATTGAAGAGCATAAAGTGACTGCATTTTTTTTAACACGTTATTTCAAATGCTGTATTTCTTACTGCTCAACAAATATCTGCAAACACGCAAACACTGTGCAGTTTGACATACGATGCCTGCTGCATAAAAGTACAAAAGTATTGTTGTGTGTTGGACCGGTGGCCGTGGTGTTCAGTGTTAGGTTACATCATAGGTAGCAGACACTGAATTACATTTAAGGTGCTATGCCATTTCTTATAATAATAATAATAATGGATTGGATTTATATAGCGCTTTTCTAGGCACCCAAAGCGCTTTACAATACCACTATTCATTCACTCTCACATTCATACACTGGTGGAGGCAGCTACAGTTGTAGCCACAGCTGCCCTGGGGCAGACTGACAGAAGCGAGGCTGCCATATCGTGCCATCGGCCCCTCTGGCCAACACCAGTAGGCAAGTAGGGTAAAGTGTCTTGCCCAAGGACACAACGACCAGGACAGAGAGCCCAGGGATTGAACCGGCGACCTTCCGGTTACAGATGCGATCCCCAACCCCCTGAGCCATGATGCAGTGCTAAAAGAGTGCAGGATGCGCCTGCACATCTGTTGTTTTTACGTGAATATAGAATTCGGTTTGCAGCCACATTGCCCAAATGTCGGCTTGTTTACCTGATGATGAAAGGGAGGTCACTTTGTGGCAGACAGCAATCATTTGTCAGGGTGATGGATGTTGTTGTTTGACCTGTGATAAACTGATTTCTTCACCATATATATATCAGTGTTACACTGAGTCATCAGATAAATGAACACCATCTGAACTCCACCTGCTTTGACCTCGTCTCTCTCTGTTTTCTCACACTTTATAACTCATGTGTGGGAGAGCTCATTACGAGGCAAACGGATATTCCCCAATTAATCTTTTAAAACACAGGAAACACTGATACAAGAAACACAGTGTTTCTTGTATCAGAACACTTTTGCATTGTTGTATTAATTTCACTTTTATTTGTTTTTCCATCAAGTCAAGCAAGATTAAAACTTATTAACTGACAAACTTCTACCTACCAACAGAACGTCAGTCCAATATTTATGCTCCATATACCTGAGATATAAGGGAAGCATCAGCTCAGCTTAAGGTACAAAAAGACCTTTAGGTGACTATTTAGGTCATTTACCCCCCTGATATGACCAATACCAGCAGTAGACATCAACCACCAACAATAAAGATCACTCTTATCCAGATATGTGACAAAACTGTTAGATTTAGGCACAGTCATTTGGTTTGGATTAAGAAATTGCTTCTTTGTTGCCAATAATAACAACATTACAGTAATATGCAGTATACCATAGCATAGGCTTAGGTTAATTTGTGGAAAAGTAATTATTAAGTAATAATTAAAAAGACTGGTTTGAAACAAAGGTCTCCATGTTACAGTGACCCATTAATCAACCCTCTTACAGCACAAGAGGACATGTGAATCTTTTGGGGGCATTTGACAGATGACTGCTGTGTCTCAAAACTCACAGAGTTCATTTGGAAATGAAATGTAAACACATTTTAAACACTAAAATTTTAAGTGTTGAAATAACCTCCAATTACTTTAAACAAAAAAATATTGATGGGTTACAAAGTCATTTCTAAGGTTTAGGGCGCTCGAGTAAATGACAGAGAAAGCCTTTATCCTTTAACTGGAAAACTTGAAACACTGGTGAAACTTCCCAGGAGTGGTCGGTCTGCCAAAATTACTCCAAGGATGCATCAGTGACTCATCCAGGAGGTCAGATAAGAACCCAGAACAACATTTAGATATATGTTGGCCGCACTTGTGTCAGCTAAGCTCAAAGTTCATGATTCAACAATAATTAAGAAACTGCACAAAAATGACATCCCTGTGGGAGGTCCAAGGGAAAAACCAATGAAAAAGACTAATTTCACATTCACTAAAAATCCATTGTAATGATGGGAACATGCTTTGTATTCATATCAAGAACTCCCTGAGTAAAGGTGGTTATCCCACCTGGACATTTGTTGTCTGGGAAGCTGGGAAGGCACCTAAAGAGAGCTCCAGGCAATCCAGAAGAGACAACTGCTGCCTAAGCACAAACCCTTAGTGATCCCTTATGTGTCAGGAGCATGGGAAAAGAGCTGAGATGCATTTTCTCTAAACACTCTGTGGCTTTCAAAACCTAAAACATGCTGCGCCAAAAATTGTCCACCCCAAGTATTCGGTCTCACGGCACCAACAGAGTAATGTAGTGTATGCTGTTAGGTGCCAGGAGGTTGCCATGCAACAACCTCTGGCTTTGCAGATGGCACAACACAGAATAGCCACCTTGTCAGACCAGGTCTCTGCAGTCTATTTACACCTACAGGCCAGTGGACACTCTTTCATTGATGAGGATGTGCACATCCAGGACAGGGAGGAACGCTGGTTTGAGCACAGAGTCAAAGAGACCATTTATGTGAAAAGCGAAAGACCATCTCTGAATCGAGGAGGGGGCCTAAGGCTACATCTTTCACCATCTTAAAATACTGTGATTGCAACCATTCCTCAACTATCTGTGAACGGTACTCATGGCCATTGATGATTGGTCTTTGATCATTGGTTGTTGATCGATGGTCATGCCATTTTGCATATTAATGATCAAGAAACAAACCTCCCAGCCCATTGTTTGGCACTGGTGCCAGTTTCAGTCCTTATGCAAATGTTCTGTTTAAAAGATTGGGGAAACCTGCAGTGAGCGGAGACTGAAGAAGTCACTTGGATGAGTGACGAAATGAACATACAGGCCTAGTATATTAAAATATGAATTTAATAAGAGGTACGTGAAATGATTAACTGTCAATATCAACTAGTGGTATTAAAATATGGATTAAACCTGAAGGTAGAATTTTGGCAAAACAGCAGGTTCAGACATCAGTCTTTGCTGAACCTGCACCTGTTCGCCTGTTCACCTGTTTTATTAGACCTGACATGGTCAGAGCTGCGTTCCCTGCTTACTCATTGTCACAGCTTTCCTTATTAATGTGTTTTTCATACTTCTTCTTTTCTACATCATGCATGATAGGCAGGGTGGTTTGCAAGAGGAAATTCATCTGTTACAAAGTTAAAGTACAGAAGCTTATTTAGTTGATAATGCTAGCTGTGTTTCTGATCTGAGCGTGGTAAAAGCAGACCAGCAGCAGTTTGTCCACAATGTGCATGTGCAAAGCACCAGAAAAATAACTGCTGGCCTCTTGCCCAGCTTCTGTCATTGTAAACAGGAGATAGACACACTCTCACAGACAGACAACTATACTTTGAGACTGATGTAAGAACAGCTTTCAGTAGAAATACCAAATGGTAACACAAGATGGCAGTGATCTAAAGGTTGGGTGCACATATTAAATGACAGTTAAGGAGCTTTAAGACAACGCTGTCTGAGACTAAAAGGAGAGAGATCAGCCTAATGGAGCACCACTGGCAGGAAGTCATGTATTTCTCTACAGCTTTAAGGTAAATGTCAGTATATGCTAACACGCACATGCTAGCAGTATAACATCTGCATGATGTATTTCCTACCCATCACGTAGATTTTGGTTCCTCTTACGAAGGGCGTGGCTCCATACCGCGGTGTGGGCATAGATGTCATTGGGTGCCATTGGTCCTTCTCTGCATCATACACCCTAACCAGGGCCTGTGGTGTTGTGTCTGCACCCATGCCCCCCAGCGCATACACTTTTCCATCTGCAGAGAGAAAAGAGAAAAAAAAGAGCTTATTAAGAGCTTTTTAAAGGATCTCATTACACTCTACTCTTAGTTCAACAGTGTTCAACTGTGGTCAGTATATTTGTTCTCAGCCTTGTTAAGCTAATGTGCAGTGAACTGAGGAAAAAACGCTGCCAACACCTCTCCGAAGGGCCAAGAGCTGCACTCTTTCATCTCGCCATTTCTGCTCTACCTGTCATGATGGCTATCCGTCTCATCCGTCTACAGTTATCCAAACAATCTGCAATATCTATATCAAAAAACTGCCACACGAACAACTTTTTTCCACAAGGACACACACAAACACTCCTAAATGCTGCAGTGTCATTACAGAAAGGCAAGGGGGAAAGAGAGGGGAAGTGCTGAGCCAGCAAAGAAGGTGCTCCTGGTGATATACTGCAGGGGAAGAAAGGAAGAGGGAAGAGAAAAGAGAACAAAACGTAACAGAACAGAACTGATGAGAGATGGAGATTAACAGCCCATTAGTGCTCTAAGAAGTCGTGACAACTTAAATGTGGAGAAAGAGAGGGGGACAAGACTAGAGGGAACAGAGCAACTCAGTGAGCCAAGCAGATGGTGAACCAAGGAAGCTGTGACTTAAACTGTGAAGAATAGAGCAATAATAAATATGTCACTCAGAATGCTATCCTCACACAGTTCAACACTTAGGACTGACTAAATCCTATTTTACTATTGTACATGGAACAAGTGGTGCAGCAAGAACACTGTCATTGTGCATATCATGTGGCAAGACTGGAGCAAATATATACATATATATAAATATATATATGTATATATATATATATTTCACTCTGACGTTGCAGGGCGTCGTATTGAAAAAAATTAAATGAGTGTTTTACTGCTTTCTCCATACCATTTATTATTAAATATTACTTTGAGCTTGGGTCCTTACAATGAAGGTCAAGGACAAATGCTTCCCCAACCTGGGTACCAATGTCCCTGAAGGTGTAGTATATTGTTGTAAAGTTTGAAGACCATTCATAAAAATATGACATTTTTACTTCTTTTTTTTTTTACTTTTTTAAAATCACTGAAAAATAATAGTAAAGGCAAAAATACATTAAATAAAATAAATGCACACTCACTTGTTTAGGTAAACCTGCAAATATCTAATCAGCCAATTACATGTCACCAACCCCCAGGGCACACAGAACTCAACTTGAACTACAAGCATGTAAAAATGGTCAAGATGACCTTATGAAGTTGAAAAACAGAGCAGATAAATGGGAAAGAATAGTAATTTTTTTGACTTTGAGCATTAGAAGATCATACAGGGTGCAGTTCCTGTCAGCTAAGAACAGGAAACTTTATCTGCTATGCACACATGCTCACCAAAATTGGACAATAGAACATTGAGAAAACTTGTTTAATGAGTCTGTTTGCTGCAACATTTGTGTTAGTGTAAGAATGTGTTGCGAAAAACATGAAAGCATGGATACATCCTGCTTTTTATCAGCAGTTCAGGCTGGTGGTGGTGTAATGTTGTGGGGAATAGTACCTTAGTACCAATTAAGTCTCATAAAGTAAAGCCACAGGCTACCTGTGTATTGTTACTGACCATGTCTCTTTATGACCATAGTGTACCCATCTTTAGATTGTTGTTTCCAACAGGATTTTGAGTCATGTCACAAGGCACAGATCATCTCAAACAGATGATCAAACAGTCACCAGATCTCAATCCAACAAAGCACCTTTGTGATGTAGCAGAACAGGAGATTGGCATCGTGGATGTGCAACTGATGAATCTGCAACAATTGTTTGATGCTATCATGTCAATATGGACCAAAATCTCTGAAGTTTACTTCCAGCACCTTGTTGAATCTATCCCATGAAGATACAAGACCAAGACATTCCCCAGCAGATCTAATCTCTCCAGCAAGTCCTGGGTCTGCCTGAGGCCTGCCTAGGCATGCGTTTGGGCCGGTGCTTAGTGGGGTTGATGGCAGTCAGAGGTGAAGGTTCTACCAAATAGACTTTTTGTAGTCTCCATTGCATTCCATAAATATAACTTGATACATAATTAATATACTAATAATAATTATAATTTTGGCATGACTTGAATTTTTCTTGTTGAGTATAGCATAAGCAACACAAGACAGTGGCATGTTAGCATGGACCTGACCCATGATAATAATCTTTAGTTGTCTTAAGGAAACTGTTGACTTTTATACACAAATAAACAAAAAACAAGAAGGAAAAAGGGGGAAAAAACCAAAATGAGAGACATATGTGGAAAAAAATTAGCTTTTATGCTGGGCCCATTATTCAGATGGGGATAATGCTCTTCTACTGCCTGGTTGTTTGGTACGCATGGTCCACAACTGAGAACAAGAAGTCTGTGCAGAGGGTAAATTAACACAGCCAAAAAAATCCCTGGCTGCCCTCTGCCAGCCCTGGAGACCATCGCCAGATCCTCCTGTCTCAGGAAAACCAGGGCCATCACAGGGGACTCCTTGCACCCCGCCCACCACCTGTTACCTGCTACCCTCTGGTCGGCACCTCAGGTCAATAGGGTCCCACACCTCCAGCCTCACAAACAGCTTCTTCCCCTGGGCCATTCGCACTGTCAACAAACACTATCCCCACACCCCACCCGTGCCTACCTCTCCAATCTGTGCCATGGTCTGAGTAACCCTCATCACTCAGGCCACTCTGAGCACTTTGCTCTCCATTGTGTGCCTTTCTATTGTTTTGTACACATTCCTCTAGACTTCCTCTAGTTATTTATTCCTGATGTGTTTACTTTTTATTTTTTTACTCCTGCACAGTTCGTGTGGAGTACTCTTAATTTTGTTGTACATGTACAATGACAAAAAAGAGCTATTCTATTCTGTTCTATTCTATGCTATCCTATATACCTACTTCAGCCCTATAAGCACTTAAAAACTTAGAAAGTATTGCTTTGTTGCAATCAATGAAGAAGACAGGTTAATGAAAATGGCACTAGAAGAACTTCAGACCTGTCACTCTGTCAGTATTCACAACATGAGATGCAATCTCCACACTGTCAAAACATAAAGGTTCACCAAGTGAAGGCTAGCAAAGACAAGGAAACGATGAAGTGAATAACAATCTCCAGGAAATGAAGGCTCCTGTGTTTAAGTTTGTGTGCATGTGAGTGCATGTGCTGGATCCTGAATCCCCTTTCTTTTTCTACTAAGTGCTGACACCTCACAGTCTACAATGACAGACAGATGCACACTTCAGAGTGAACAATGTGAAATCATAACCAGTCTTGAAACCATAACTAGTGTTGGTTTCCCTTTGTGAGGGTGCACCTGTGCCTGCGTGTGTGATCACGGCAAAATTCAGTGCTGTTATCAGAAAGACTGGAACATTAGCTAACTGCATGCAGAAAACAAATGTATATTAGATTTTAAGGTGAACTGTGGCCTGAATGACGACTTTCTAAATCCTAAATTGATATTCTATAAAACAGAAAAGAAAAACAAAGAAAAAGAATATTGACAGGATGCTGAATTTCTGATCATTTCTGTGTGCGAGTGCCAAAGGTAAAACAGAAAAGATAACACAGGGAGAAATAACAATCAGGCAGGTGTATGTGTTAGTGTCTGTAAGGGAGCAAAGAATTTTACATGCAGGATGTGTGTAAAGTAATTCAACAGTGCACAAAGAAAATACCTGTCAAACATTCTGTCTGGCTAAATTACTTTCACTTGAGCTTTAACACTTTGCCGCAGCAGCATGATAAGACTTTCCTAGTACAATGAAATCAGAACCTACTTTCCCTGAGATTAAATGTAGGGAAAATCATTAAACATGCACGGAGGAGAGCCTGGATTTGTAATAATTCCCTTTAAACATGCTCTCTGGGGATGGTTTGGTTTTATCAGACAATAAATCAAAGATGCTGTATGCTGCCAGGATTTCACAGCAAATACACCAAATGGGAAAAGACAAAAGATGAAGCCACACTTGAACTATTTTGTATAAATTAGTAGTACTCTGCATTACCTACATTTGAAGTCTTGATTTATCAGGGTAAAAACCCAATGGACTAATGCACTAGGCCCTAATCCAACAATACAAAGTTACGACCAACTGATTCAGTAATTTAACCTATATTGTATCCATTTTAAAGGTGGTATAACGGATAAATCACAGTTCAAAAGAAATCACTACTGTGGAAAATTCAAATTGGATGCATTAAGTGGCAAGACTAAAAGTCAACACTGAGACAAAAAGCTCAATGCTCTGCACTACACGGAAGCAATGTGTGTTTCCACAGGAACTTTCCCCCAAGGAACGAAAACCTTTTGAGGAACGTTCTCCCTGTGTTTTTAACTAGAAGATCCTGCACCCAAATTAAGAGAGAGGAGTTGTACTTTCAGAAAAAAAATGAATGTGGGGCTTACACGCTCACTTATGGTACAAGTCTACTAGCAGTTTTGATAGGACTGTTCAACGCATCCTTTTTTAAACCTGCAGTCAAACACATGTCACATATGGCAGACAATTTAAATGGAGAATCCCAAGATATTTTACAGATCTAGAACTAAAGTAAGAACTTTGATTCTGCTGTGGAAACCAAAATCACAGTGCACTGGTACAAAAGATGACTACGCACACGACTGTATATAACTCCAAACCAAATGCATTAAAATAAATCTGATCTCTTCACCTGATTTCTGAAGCCAGTGTTCAATAAACTGTACTTAGTTGTTCATAGAACTACATACTAGGGCTGGGCGATATGACCCAAAATTCATATCTCGATATTTTTTAGCTGGATGGCGATATAAGATATATATCTCGATATTTTTTTTTAAAGCCATAAGTTAAGAACAAAAAGAGAGTTCTTAGTCACACTGTGTCCCAGATGTCACACGGGCACTTTTATTTACATACAGCGTAGATGTACATGAAAAAATTACTCAAAAATTAATTATCAGCATTTATTAAATAATCATGGTCCATAAATAAAAGAAAACAACGTT